CGGCCAAATTCAAACAAACACCTTCAACACAAAAGCTCCTCCAACAATCAATGAATGAACATCAATCACCCTCAAGATATAGAGATGGAACGAGAGATATATATCAAACACAATCACCAAAGTTTGCTATTGGATGATAACAAAACGAAAGGCACGAAACTAAAAGGAATTGTCCAAGTGGTGAATAATTCAAAAACAAAATATTACGAATACCCTCTTTTGGGAGAGGAAAATTCGAAGAGAGGAAGAAAACAAGAAGAACAAAAATTCGAATTTTAAGACCAATTATGGTAACCAAAGATGACTCTTGATATACCAAATTATGGCTCTAAATATGCCAACTATGGTAAAACCATAAGAAGGCTCTGAATACCAAAATTATGATAGCAATCCGTGACAAAACCAATCTTTAAGAAAAGACCAACTTTGCTAATTCGGAAAGTCAGAGATTTGTAGGCAGCGGAATTTGGAAATTCGGATTTAAAGACTCTAGAACACACGAAAAACAAAGAAAAGAAAAGATATTTGATCTCACGTGGATCAATTCACGAGTTCAATGGTAGAAAAACCCAAATCAAAAATGAAGAGAGCTAATTCTAACCAAGCAGAGACCCTTTTGAAAATTGTGTAAGAAAACCCAATAGATATGAGATCTATGAGCCCAAATACCAAGATTCGAAAGATCCAATGCTATAGACGCCACTATCAAGTGAACTAAACAAGATAGATAAGTCTAACAATTGTCACAACACATATGCAACAATCAAACAAAGAAGTCCTCACAAGAACTCCATGAAAGGAATAAAATCCTAACCAATTTCACTCAGGAAAATTTCAAAATGACCAAAGGTGTTGGACAAGAGGATTTCGGTCCCTATATATAGAGGGGTGGCCGAAATTTCTCTCCTAAAAGTAGAGGAAGAACACAACTCTTCACCTATATTCCTATCTCTAAGAATCTGAAATGAAATCAAACTCTAAAGACTCCTAGTTATCTTAAGTGATAAGATAACGAACCTAGACACTTTTACTAGTCTTAAAACATTTAAGACTTGTAGGAATTAATTAAAACTCCAAAATACAAAGAGATAATCTCTTAGAAAGATTCCAATGGATAGAATCTCCCTTGAGTTAAAACTCTATCATCATCTTCTTTGTAGAGTGATCTTAGCCATCCATTTTGATGTAATCTTCATCCAACGGTTGAGTAGACATCAAAAGCTGACTCCTTATTGTAGGAAAACTCGAAAATAAGATAAAAAGAATCATCCCAAATATTATCCTTTAAAGAGATAAAAGTCTTATCTTTCAAAGAGATAAAATTTGAATGATCTCACCCCTAAACTTTAGGGAGAAATTCGACCAACATGAGGAGATGTGGCCGGCGGTCCCTTTGAGGATTGAGGGCCGAAATTCTTCTCTCCAAATGGGCCATGTCCATTTGGTGTCACTTGCAGCAAATTAATAATCTTGGACTTGTAATCTTCAAGCTTAATTTCCTCCTTAGCCCATGTAGTAACAATTAGACTATTAAGTGATTCATTCATCCTCTTGCGTCTAGCACGAGTCATTGGTCCAACAATGTTTGAAAGTGGATCACGGATGTAAGGATTATTCTTTAAAGCAGCATCTTTAGATCCTTCATTAGCATTCACGACCTCAACTTGCTCGTCTTCTCCATTATTGGCAGCAACATGTCCTTCTCCATTAGTGTTAGCTAGATGGTCTCCATCATCCTTAGTCAAAAAGAAATCTCTTGAAACACAAAGAAGGATTCAAATAGAAACTCAAAGGTCTCTAATTCTCAACCCTCGTATCCTTGCTCTAATATCAAAAACTGGTATGATAATATCAGATGATACCTTCGCTTGGATAGTTCAGCTTTGATACCAAAAACTGATAGCAATCTCGTAGACAAAGCAAATTTCTTAAATGCAACCATCAATAAGAAAGTACGATGATGATTAGTCTATCCCGTGAAACTCAAAAGAGTGCAGAAAATTCACAGTAAGACAAATCAAGCAAAGAATGATTCAAATAGAAACTCAAATCAATAGTTTATCTAAGGAATTCTATCTCTTTAATTCAAATCAAGCAAAGAACACATAATCTATGAAAGACTCGAATTAAATAACAACCGATACTAGAATAGTAAGAACACCATTCAATAAACTAAAGCAATCACTCTCAAATGCTCAAGAAAGTTAGGAGCAAACAATGCTCAACTATAGAGGAATACTATTGATTTGTACTCTCCATAACCAACAAAAATATGCGGCATACACACTATCTCAAAATACTTATGCCAAAGTAAAAATCATCCAACAAAAGTAGGACAAACCCAACAAAGGAACTCGAAAACCCAAGCCAAAAGAAAGGCTCATCTCTTGAACTACTAGAAGTAGTATAAAAATAAGAAGATTTAGTTTTTAAAAAAAATTCTATCAAGAAGCATATTTGAAAAAGAACGGTTTCTGCAAGATCAAAAGATCCAAAACAAGATGAAAACCCTATTTGTTGAAACATACTTGAAAACAAAAAATGGATACACCATTTAACAAAAATTCCTCAAAGGAAAAACTCTCATTAAAAACAACATAAAATAACTACACACGGGTACCTTGAACCTTAGGCCATGCCCTCTATTTACAGGCAAGCTTTCTTGGTCACAAAGCATTTAAAAAGAAGAGCAACTATGACTCTTTACTCTTATCTCTCGTAACAGTAGAGTTAGAAGAGTATTTGATCTCTTTGACTCTATCTAAAATCTAGAAAACCTTATACAAATGACTTATCCTTAACAAGGATAATACTTAGAAGGAATCTAAGACTCCTAAACAAAATACTCTAGTTTTAATTCAGCCCACATGACTTATCTTAACTAGATAAATCTGAAAATTAAAACTCCTAGACTAGATAATACTCTAATTTCAAAATTCAGCAACAAATGATGAAGTAAAATGTCTTGAACGCCCTTCCAAAAGGTGAAATATTGGTCTTGCGCCCCTCAAGTTGTAGAAAACTCTAATTTACTCCAAAACTTGTAAAACTCTCTTTATAGACTCCAAAAGAAAGGAAAAACACTGGAAACAATTGAGATAATTTGCACCTAATCCAATTGGGTAGCAATTGACTCAATTTTGAACACTTTGATCAAATAGGTCGTCCATTCAAAAACTTAAATGACTCTTCTCTCTAGCTTGATCGATGATTTTCATGGGGCGCCTAGAGTCAAACTCCCTTGATACACTTCAACACTTATTTCCATGAGTGTATCATCTCTTTCGGTTTGAACCCCAAAGTTAATGTCATACTCATCCTTGATCATAGTTTGCCTGAATCAATTCCCTATCACGTAGGTAGTCAAGATCCATTTTCTCTTTATTGATTGGTCTGCAAAGTAAACTTGGCATTCTAAAACAAGAATGAAGGACTAGCTCATTCCCCTCACTAGGAGAACCACCATGGAAGGCTATATGATTCTCATCACTATGGCTCCGTAAATCCACATATACGGTTTCAAGCTATCTTAATGGCCCATACGGACAAGTCTTATATCATACATCGGAATGTCTCCAAACATTGTTGTAACTTATAAGATATATAATAAATAATCCCCAAAAAGAGTGAACAAACACATGCCTATGACTCCCTAAATTCACATGTACGGTTTCAAGCTATAGATTCAGAAATATATTGACCAAATACAAATGTCTTTGGATTATCGTGATTGTTGTGCGTAGGTTGCTTTTTGTGTGAGGAAGATGATCACGTGGGTTGTCCCCGCAAACCTTACACTAATACAAAAAATCCAATAAAACGTTGTTATTTACGTTCTGTACTTATACCACTGGCAAAACATAATATGGGCAAAACCGTCCACAACTTTACACGCACCCACCCACCTTCATTTACACGCACTTAAATTACTGTTCAACACATTCGTCATTTTTTCCAGATCTTTTCCGAAATATCCAAATCCCACCGGCAATTACACCTCAAACCAACGAAAGCTGTCAATTACTCCTATCCCCCAAGGACACAATTGGAACTCCGCCCACAAACCCACACACTTCCACACCTTTTTGGCACACATTTCGTTTCGAGACCCAACCCGTAAAATTTTCCAGGTCCACAAGGACTATTCTCCCTATTTACACTCCCTACCAACACAAGCAGCCAAACATTTTGTCACATAGTTAGGGCAAAACTGTCCAATTTTTTACACACACCAATACACCTCAAGTGACACACATTTTCTTCTTTTTATGTATAGGTAATAATGAATGATTCCAAGCTCAAATGAGACCCTAAATACATGCCTCTGGTGCGTAAACTCACATGTACGATTTTGTACATCCTAGTGGTCCATAATGGACAAGTATCATCTCACATATCGGAATGTCCCTAAACCCTAGTAACATTTATAATGGTTAAAAGGAATCATTATAAGCCCAAATGGATGCGCTAAACAAATGTCTATAACTCCGTAAACCCACACAATTTCGTACATTCTAATGGCTCATAACGAACAAGTATCACCTCGTACATTGGAATGAACCCAAACCTTTATAATACTTATATAAGGAATAACTTCAAGTTGAAGTTGAGGCCCTAAACACACACCTATAGCCCAAGGTTTAAAACCGCGGTTACGATAAATTTTGTCCTTAAAATATTGCGGTTTTTAATTTCAAAATACCAATCCAATCTCCTGGATCCAATTTTTGCGCGTTATAGACACGCGATAGGGGATCTACGATAGACCCAGGACCACCTAAGAATTTGTCGATTCCTGTTCCACCAAAGAAATTGTCGAACTTGACCTTTCTAACAATTGTTTCAATTTTCCATCGATCTTCCAAAAAAGAAAAGGGAAAAGGGAACATTGTCCAAAATAACCACTTGAAGAAAAATTAACCCACCACATTAGACATCTTAAGCTATCCACATCACGGTGAAAAATCAATCAAATACAACCATACTCAATTTTTAGGAAACTTGAAACTATATATTGAGTTGTAAATGTCTCGGACCAAAATCCAAAGACGATATCTAATATAAATTCCTAAAACAATACAATTTTTGTCAGGTTTGCTTGAACTATGCCTTTCCAAGCAAATTCTTTGTTTTTACCTCACTGATGTATCTATTCTACCTACAACTATACTAAATGCATAACAATTATTCTCTCCGTACCTATAATAATTCAACGAACACATATTTACCTTCTCGATGGAGTAAACTTTACCACATTTGGCATAACCCATTTGTATGGTTGCATAGGTATTCAAATATCTTAATTACAGAAACATATATCTAGTTGTCTTCAGCAAATACTCGGAATATGAAGTCGCGAAAACGCCTTGAATATTGTTTGGGATCAACAGCAGAAATAGAAGTAGGATCGTACTGGATTGATTTATAAGCATGCTCAAGCTTCTTGCTTATATCATAATCTTGTAAGATGTCAATAATGCTGAAGAAGAGAATGATGTCGTAGAACTCCCCTGTTGGTTCCCCAATCAACTCAAATTCATTTTTCCTCAAGGTCACCTCAGCCCGTGCCGGCATACTAATTCCTAATGCCCACCTTCCAAACAAAATCAAAGTTTAGGTAAAATCAGTATGCTTCCACCCGACAAATAACTAATAATACCCCTATTGTTGCTAGACAGGGAGTAACAAACAAAAATGAGATTGATGTTAAATGATATGCTTGTTACACTAAGAAATTTGTTATGCTTTCGAATTAACAGGTTATTATAGTTGTTAGCCAAGGGAAAGTAATGGATACACAAGCATAACTTAATAGGCTAATTTCAGAAACACCTTGAGGTTTATCTAATTATCTAAGACACTTTTACTGTTCAAGAAATTATCAACATCATCTCTTAATTGACAATCCAACTATAAAAGCATTTTTCAACAACTGAAAATTGATGTATACCTATGAATTCTGCAAAAATAAAATAAAACATATTTGTACTCCGGACAAGCCCTCCCTGATTTTTCCACACTCAAAATTAAATATCAACTTTTAAATCCAAAATTTAATATTTTACGATTTGCTAAGCTATTTTAGAGTTAGAAATTGATATTTGATTTTATTGGAGTATGAAAAAATTTAAGGAGGGTTTCTATGGTACAAACGTCTTTTTGGCATGTTTTTTACTTGAGTTCATGTCTATACATCAGTTTTCAGTCGTAGGAGAACCCTTTTAAGAATGTAATTACCGATTAAGGAATGATTTTGATATTTTCTTGAACAGTAAGCGTGTTTTAGATAACCAGATAAATCTCATGAGTGTAATGTAATTAATGTCGTAAGATTGTCTTACACGTGAATTTATTCATTCACTATGCAGTAAAACCTTTATAAATTAATCATCTATTAATTAATAACCTTTACTAAAAAAAATTTTCAAGAATAAAAAAAACTCGCTTAATTTAAAAGATAATGATTTTCAAGGATCTTCTATTAAATATAGGTCCCTACAATTTCACAAATTAATAAATACCTAAAATAATAAACTAGATTTAGAGATAACTTAGACGTTAACTTTAACTTAAGTATTCGTATTTATATTTGCGTTATCATGTTTTATTCCATTAAAAAAATTAAAATGTTATGCCTAGGGTTGCAACGGACTTTTCTTGATGTAAAAATAATAAATTTTTATTTTTTTATTTATAGGATTGAAAAAAAACTATTTAAATTAATAAAATATTAATTTATGAATAGATTAATAATTATTAATTTATCTATAAATTAATAACTCTATAAATTAATAAATATGTAGAGGCCTAAATGCATTTATTTTGTATATGTATATGATTCCATGTCTGACGTTTGCAGTTTGCTGGTTATGATAAAAATATCTTACCGCGAAGTATCTAAAGGATTCGAGTTTGCCCGTTTATTCCGAGGAGTTGATCCACTTCCATTTATATCTCCTCCTGCGAGGTTAAACAAATTGTGACATATTGCTCCTTGATCTTTATATTCTACTAAATTTTGATGAAAAATAAATATTTTCCATCTTTTTTAAGTAAAAAAAAAAATAGTCCGCATTATTTATTGTAAACTATCTTTGTGGGAGGAAAAGGATATTAATACAGTAAATGTTTAAAGTTCTCGGCATACCTGAAGTTGAAATTTCGAAGGTTCGAACCTCACAAGCCAGCGGCTCTCCAGACTGAGAAACTTGTCTAAAGTGGACGCCGACAAGTAGACTGTAATCCATAATTCTTTCTTGTTCAAGAAAATCACAATCCTTGTCCACCTGCCTGTATATGTAAAGTTTCAGTGGGTACCCATGATAATATTCTTTCGGATACTAATTATAAGGTATCACTTAAGATATTTATTTGTCCAATTTATAATCCATTTGATGTTTTTAAGATTTTATTTCTAATTTACTTTTAACTTTACCCAAACTTGAATTAACTAAACTTTAATCTGATTGATTCGGAAAAGATCGAAAACAATTTTTTTTCACCAAAAAGTTACTGGCTTAATTACTTTCCTTGATTTTTGCAAATTAGTTATTTATGCGCTATATTAAGGACGGAAAGGAGTATTACAATGATTACCTGCAAAATTCTTCGAACCAATTCTTTCGCAGTCCGAAGATGAAATTAAGATCGAGGTCCTTAAGGGTGGTGGTTGAATCAATCTCAGATTCTGGTTTATCAGTTAATCGGCCATGCGAAGAACCTTTCAAGTCGAACCGGCGATGGATAGCATATTCAGTACAGAACAAATTCCCCATGATTACGAATCTTACCTAAAACCATTTATTAAATAAGCAGCGTACATGTAAATATGATACTGAAAAAAAATTACCAAAATTTATAAAGTTGTTCATTCAATTTGTAGTATATATATCTCTTACCTTCTTTTGTGCTGCTCCTGTCAGTTTCACACAATGCAAACCATAGAATTTTGTTATTAAAGTGTTCTCAAATGCTCGAACATGATTGTAATAATTTGGAAGCATCCTTAGTAGGACCTGTTTCAGAATAATTTTTTAGTGAGTAGCTAGCATTGAATTGTTATTATAAGGTTAAATATAATAAGGTTAAATTTCCCTCTCATAATTATGCTTTCTGTAACAAAACAAAAATATCACTTTTTGAGTTATACTCCCTCTATTCACAAATAGAAGTTGCTGGAGAGGTTTCACAAAAAAGAACAGTAATAATCTTGTTAAAATACTACTATATTCTCATTTATTATTCTCATCAAACACAAATAAAATTTTCAATGTAAAGGTAATACTGAAAAGAAAAAAAAAATTGGCAAAACATGCATCGATTTGTGAGCACGACATCTAATTTAAAACATTTAATTTTTCTTTCAACGACATTTATTTGTGTACTGGAGGGAATATTTCTATCGGAAATTGATTGAAAAGGGCAAATTAAATGCCATGGCTACAAAAGGAAATCTCAAAACATTAATTTCTGCTTGGATTCTTCGAAAGGAAGATGGACAAATGATGACTTACTTTAACTTCAGACTTCTTCATTGTCTTTATCATGTACTTGTCATCATTGGTCAAGTAAAAGAAGCTTCCACTTTTTCCGGGCGATGACAGCTCTCGAAGAGCATCATTCCCACATATTGATATCATGTAATCTGCTGGATCGACTTTAAATAAGTTCCTTAGCGTCCTGGAACCAATTTTTTTTTGTAATGTGAGTCAACACCATAATCGTTGCCTGATTTGGTATGCTAACTTGTCTCTGAAGAAAACTCACGCAATAAACTGTAAGAGAGTATAAGAAATACTCCCTCCGTTTAGAAATGATTGTCCAGTTCGGACTTTTCAATTTTAGTTCAAACTATACTAAAAATAAAAAATGCAAACTGGACACTCATTTTGGAATATAAGAAGTACTATAGACACATCTCATTGTCTTTCCATCCATACTGTTTGCTCTTGACCTCAGAGTTTTCGATTGAAGCAAAAGTCTAAGAACAGGACTAGAGTTACAAGACGGGTGCAGGAGTGTTTGAATGCGTTGTATGAAGCACCCACCATGCCCGTAGAATTTTAATCTTTGATATTGTTAACAAATTAATAGCTATACAAATCTTACAGATGCACGGTCAAATAGGCAACAGAAGTAAAAATTATCATATTGCCAAAGAATGATTTTTCATAAACTCGTACCAAACACAAGTTGTAGAATATATAGCCAGCTCACCTGAAAACCAGAGGGCAATAATCTTTCCATCTGAAATCACAAGACTGGTGTGGTGGTGTATGTTTGGATCCTTCTGGTGGAAATTTGGTCCAAATCTTTTCCTTTGGGTCAAATGCTGTTGCCTTTAGATCAAGGAATTTTGCGGGGGCTGGCCTTCCTACTGAATGCCTTAGTAATAAATGACCGGGGTATGTATTATTAGACATGCATATTCAAGTAAGGAATGTAGATCAGAAAATACAATTTCTACAATTAAAATAGCAGGCCTACGATACCATTGTTAATGTACCTGTCTAATATGTTCAAGAAACATTACTTGGATAAATTTAGAATCGCTAATTATTACAAGGACAAATCAATTTTGTTTTTTTTTTTTAATCAGTCTACTCAAAAAAATGATAAGATAATGTACTAAGCTTGAATCTCATACTCCCCTCGTCCCAAAAAAAAAAATAAAAATAACAAAACTCTCAAAACACAATATTTATTTTTTTTTTGGGGATGGAGGTAATATTATATAGGCACTAAACTGAAATATCACAAGTACTCCAAAATTCATTGTTAAAGAACAAGAAAAGGGGAGTCGGTCGATAGAAGATCACATGTATTAATTGTACAAAAGTGAAGTACAATACCAAATGGTCTTAGGGAGAACATGAATTTCGCAACACAAAAGAAACTTCAAAATGCAATAGAGAAAAGAGCTTATTTGCACCCGAAGAAAAGGAGATGAACAATATATGGTACCTTATTCCAAGCTGCAAGTTGAGCATAAGTTCATAATTTCTGTGCCCTTTTGTTATTGTGTTTCCTTGTCTCTTCTTTGGTTGTATTCGAATGTGTTGATGCCTTGTTTCTCTTGGTATATCAGCAATATTGCCAGTTTCTCCATCAAAACCAATCTCAGATTCGGAGCCCAAACTAGAGAAACCACCATTACTTAACCTTCCGGCCATTGATCCGCTCCTCAGCTCCCTCCCTTCCTTAGGTCTCGAATTCTTCCTTAGAGAATGTTTCTGTGAAAGATCCCCTTCAGGGGGGCAACAACTAACCTTCTTTTCTGAAGGAAACACTGATATCTTATCATCCCTACTGATCTTGCACTCTCTCATACAACTGGAATAAACCTCCTGCGGATTCCAATCTAACTGGTCTATTTCGGATGTAGAAGAGTAATAAGTTCCACTCATTTCCTTGGGTTCTTGACTCCATTTCCCTGCATAGAAACTCCCATCAAACCATCTGTACGTTCCATTTCCTTTAGGCAATCCATCTTCCCAGCAACCGTCATACCGATTTCCATTAGCCCAAATCATGGTGCCATTGCCATTCATCTTCCCATTCCTCCACTGTCCAATGTACTGGTTTCCATTACTCCATTGGTACCTCCCTTGCCCATCAAGCCGCCCACGCCGCCAGTTCCCATCATATTGATCACCATTTGAGTACTTCTTGACCCCTTTCCCATGTCTTAGGTTATATACCCAATCACCTTTGTAAGAACTGTTTGAACAACCAATGTAAGTCCCTTCACCATCCATTAGTCCATTATTGAATTGGCCCTCATAAGTTGCACCTGAAGGCCAACAGAACTTTCCTTTGCCGTTCATATTCCCTGTTACCCATTCACCTACATACATACAACCATCAGACCACAAATATTTACCATTTCCATTTGGACAATTATCTGCCCACTGCCCTCTATACATGTCTCCATTGGACAGGTTTTGCTCTACATGATAAACTTTGTCTCGCGGGATTTCAAGATCATCGTCATCAACATGGGCTACTGACATTGTTGCAAAAATGCTGCCAGCCCTTTTCTTCTTCACTGCTGCTTGTGCTTTTCTAACTTTGGATTCCCAGCCCTTCACAATGCCATGAAGTTCTTTGTTCATTATATATAATCTCAAATCTTTGCTTCTTTCCCTTCTTAATTATCTCTCCGTAATTATCCCAAATCACAGTCTCTTCACCATCAATGTGTACTCCAGAACGGAGCCAACAAACATATCATTAACATTCCACAGTACTCTTAGCTTCGCCAATACGTGTTGAATGATCAAAAAAAAAAAAAAAACACAGGATTTGTGGCATCCCAAAATAATAAAGGTTCTTGGCTCCAGTTTCATCATTTACGATGCATTTTCAACAACGGATGTACTTTTTGGTGAGCCATGCAAGACAAATAAATTGAGAATTCTTGTAAATAAAAAGGAGTTGTACTTAATCAATGAAAGATTAAAGTTCAACAAGAGTACACTTCTGAAACAAGAGAATGAACAAATGCATTGAGAAAATGTAATGTGGTTCATACATACCTCTATTTCTGCTTTAGATATGTAGAATGGAAATCTTTTATTGCTTCAGAAAAACAAGAACTTTTGGATTATGAAAGCAAAAGGCAAAACGAAGTTGATAAACCAATGACCCCTCCTTTCATTTCTTGAAGAAATTCTCGTCTTTTTTTGGTTTTTTCTTTGAATTCATTCTTTTCTTCAGTTTTTGTTATTTTTTATTATTATTAGTTTTTTTTTTTGTGTTCATGTTTTTTTCCCCCTTAACTGAAGGGTAAACCAGAGATTGACTTGGAATAAACAAGGTTCTTGATTTCCATGTTTGCCTCCTAAATCTAATGACAGACCCAACAAATGGGAGGTTGGAGAAATTATTTATTCGGATGGCAATGATTCGAATATTTAGTGTCAAATTGATTTATCCTTGTTCCTGTTCTTATAAAAGAACCTCTTCTAATTATATTCATCACTTAATTCCAATATTTTGATTTGTTGGGAGGTTAACGATGACACCACCGACTTTAAAAGGGGGTAAAATAGTCAAAAGATAAACACAAAATATTATTTTTTTTTCCAAATTTTTTGCCGAATAAAGTCAAACACGGCAATAACTTGGACATCAAAACGACGTCGTTTTTACTCTGATATAAGCGAAAGCCCCCAACCTAATTTCACTCTTCCAATTTGTTTGTTTCGTATAAAAGCAAAAGTTACCTAATCAATTTTCACCCAATCTGTTTGTTCCCTTCTCCTCCTTCGATCTTCTCAGCCGATGAACACTCTCTCTCCTTCCTAAATCTTTGACAACATTGACTTCGTTTCGCACATCGAACTGTCCCAGAAATCAAAGTTGAGTTTGAAGGTGGTGGGAGAGAGCGACGACTTTGCCAGTTAACGTCTGCCCGAATTTACCTTGATGTGCTTTCCGATTGGGGTCCCCGCGATACAGTTGGAGATGGCGTAGGTAGAGAAGTTTTGGCGATGGTATTGGGCATGAAATTAGCGGAGAGGCGAAAGGGAGGCTAATGCCCGATGTTTTTGCCCGATGCCCGGTAAGTCTTTTATTCCTTGCTGCTGCTTATCCACTGCACTGCACGTCCACCCTTTCTGCAATTCAAGCGCACAAATGCCGTAAAACCACCAATGTGGGGTTGAACAAATTGTTCCGTTTTTCTTGATGAATTTTTCTGGGTTCTTGGTAAAAACTACTGTGGGGTTGAACAAATTTTTGAATCTAGATTTGAGCTACTTGTATCTTTTGGGACTGAAATATATCAACAAAGAATGAGATTTTTTTTTCATGTTTTCTTGATTATTAACGGGGGAGTTGATTTTTTCCAATGACGTTCTTTATGAATGGGGTCAATTTATATTTTGATGCTTAATTTGGCCTAAGTAGTTATTTATTGAATTAGAAATAAAAAGAATGGTTGTATTTTTTGTCCCCTTTTCGTTTCCTTTTTAGTTCATAGAAAAGTATATTAATCTTTTTTGCTGTTCTTCAAAATTAGATGAAATTAGATCAAATTTTTATTGTTAATATGTAGCATTGCATCTTAGGGTACCATTTCTTCCAAGCTACTCAGGCTGGTTCTTGGCAGTGAAGTAGGAAATACAGGTACAACAAAAAATTTTGTTATGGTTTCTGTTCCTCAGATTCTATTCATCCACTGTTTTAATCCAATGTCAAACATATGAACCATACATTCATCACATTTGATGGATGACACCTCTTTTAATGAATTATGGAAATCTTTGAAACTTAAAGGTATTGCATCGTTACTTAGGAAAGGGGTTGTTAGCTCTGAATTTTAATGTCCAACATATGTACCATACATTCATCACATTTGATGGATGACACCTCTTTTAATGAATTATGGAAATCTTTGAAACTTAAAGGTATTGCATCGTTACTTAGGAAAGGGGTTGTTAGCTCTGAATTTTAATGTCCAATATGTTGAAGTGGATGATTAGTTGTAAGATGGTTATGTTGACATTCCTATTAATGTGATCTACTGCACTCCTGTTTTAAAATATGTCACGTGTCTTTACTCTGTGACATTTTCATGATATGGATCATTGGATACCCGGCTCTTGCATATTTTAGTTTCATATTTACAGTGGCGATGAATGGCAATGGAAGGCGTACTTTGCTGCTATTTGCACAATGTCCAATCTCCTCTTTTCAGCAACTTAACTGTAATAAGTAGCAGCGTTATGTTGTTTTGTAGATTCAAGATGGAAGTGAAAGATAGTCAGGAGTACAAATCATATTGGAATGTGGTTTCAAACTATAGGCTGGGCAAAATGATAGGAATTGGAGCATTTCCTAAAGTGAAACTAGCCGTTCATACTTTGACAAGGATTAAAGACGCCATAAATATTTATGATAAGCAAACACTGGATGAAACATAGAGAATGAAAGGTAACTCTTATTTTGGCTTTCTCTTGTTTTGCCATTTTAAGCTCAAGTTAGAAGTTGTTTTAAACTTAATTTTTTTCCGGTTAAAACTTAAATGATTGGAGTTGAACCTTAATTAAATTTGTTGAACCTTAATTTTCGAAGAGGAGCCTGGGTATTTGCGCTAACAAATGTAGTTTAAGCTTCTTTTATTTAGTATAAATGATATTCTGACAATAAAAATAATCAAATCAAAATTGTATCTGATGGATGAGCCAAACTATCTGTTGGATGACCAGTTAAATTGTTTGTTTAATTGAGCTTCTGCACTTCAAAGTTATTTTTGGGAGCTTTGGTAAATCTTGGTTCAACGTGATTATGCTTGCATGTTGAGCTTTGTTCTGAACAAATAAATCGCTACGTGTGCTGCAGAAGTTTTTCTGGTTCTAAACCTTCAATGTTGCTCTAGGGTAAATTCCTTCAGCCGCTAAAGTGTGTTGCACTTTGAAGCATGATGTCAGTGCAACGCGCTCCCCTAGGCTTGTGTCCTTCGTGAACAAAAACCAAAAATTTTGAATTTGGTACCTCAATTTGGTGAAATATACTAAAACCTTGTGGAAATTTTTTTCGTTTGGTGACACTGACACATGAATCCATGATACTTCTGAAGCTGATAAATTTTCCCAATAGCTACAGGGAATGGCTAGCCTTTGTAGGAAGATTTAACTAATAGACCATCATTCTAAATTTCTAGAAGACTGTTTCAAATAGACTTTTGTCATATCCTTACCTTGTAAAGTGACCATGTGGCTTTGCTCATGAAGACCATTTTGAAGCTTTACAAGGTTAAGTAACATTTGTGTTTTAATTTTACTGCTCCAGCAACTTGGAGAGAGTCTTTGTAGTATAGGTCTTAGATTTCTCTTTTTCATGTATTAAAAACTTCATCTCATGAAATCACAGATCATTGGATAAAGTCTAGCCTTACATTTTCCGTGTAGGTGTTGGACAGGTGAGTTCATCACTAGGACTTGTTATATTGTTTTTTTCATTTAATCTTTCTTTCCATTATGAATCTTAGTCAAATAGTTGATGTTCTGCAGTTAGACTAATAACTGGTTTATTAACTCTATCAGGTGATTAAAGGATTAGATGAAGGCATCTTGACAATGAAAATTGGAGGCAAGTGAAGACTATTAATTCCAGGATCAGTAAGATTAAATTTTTCTCTTTCTGTATTTTAATTATTAGAAACCTTAATTTCGGTTTTCCCAATGAGTGTGTAAAGTTAATGATTCTAAAAACTTTGTTTTTGAGTTTCCCAACCTGAAGTTGTTCAAGTGAGATATTTTAAACTGAAAGTAAGTTAAAATTGAACCTTAGATATAAGCAACTACTGTGACAGTCTTCTGCCTTTTGGTGATCCTCACTGTATTTTCTCAATATATAGTTTTCCCATCTTGACTGTTTCGAAGCATGATGCTTTGTGGTCAGTGCAATGCGCTCCCCTAGGCTTGTGTCCTTCATGACAAAAACCAAAAATTTTGAATTTGGAATCTCAATTTGGTGAAATATACTAAAACCTTGTGGAAATGTGTTTTGTTTGGTGACACTGGCACATGAATTCTTGATATTTCCAATGCTGATAAATTTTCCCAATAGCTACAAGGAATGGCTAGCCTTTGTAGGAAGATTTAACTAATAGACCATCAATTCCAAATTTCTAGAAGACCGTTTCAAATAGACTTTTGTCATATCCTTACCTTGTAAAATGACCATGTGGCTTTGCTCATGAAGACCATTTTGAAGCTTGACATGGTTAAGTAACATTTGTGTTTTAATTTCAGTGCTCCAGTAACTTGGAGAGAGTCTTTGTAGTTTAGGTCTTAGATTTCTATTTTTCATGTATTGAAAACTTCATCTCATGAAATCACAGATCATTGGATAAAGTCCAGCCTTACATTTTCCGTGTAGGTGTTGGACAGGTGAGTTCATCACTAGGACTTGTTATATTGTTTGTTTCATTTAATCTTTCTTTTCATTATGAATCTTAGTCAGATAGTTGATGTTCTGCAGTTACACTAATAACTGGCTTATTAACTGTATTAGGTGACAATGAAAGTTGGAGGCAAGTGAAGACTTAATATTCCAGGATCAGTAAGATTAAATTTTTCCCTTTCTGTATTTTAATTAGTAGAAACCTTAATTTCGGTTTTCCCAATGAGTTTGTAAAGTTAATGATTCTAAAAACTTTGTTTTTTGAGTTTCCCAACCTGAAGTTGTTCAAGTGAGATATTTTAAACTGAAAGTAATTTAAAATTGAACCTTAGATATAAGCAACTACGGTGACAGTCTTCTGCCTTTTGGTGATCCTCACTGTATTTTCTCAACATTAGAGTTAGAAGACGTCGAAGAAGCAGATGTTCCAAGTGTAGAAATTGATGCTGCGGCTGCCGAAACAAGCAGACTAAAGCTGCTTTATGGTTATGAGGACGAAGACCTCACAAATCATTACTAGATAGTTTGTCCCTCTGGAACTGGTTTCGAAGCTTGCTGTGAAGCAACTGGCAGAATAAGTTACATAGCTGTTGATTGCTGAGTTAGTTCAATTCTTTTGAAACTGCATAAAAAGAGTTTTGCACTGGAGCGCATGGGAGTTGTGGGTTATTTCTACTCCTTATGATAGTTGTCTATTAGTTACTTATGAATCCAAACATTTAATGGAAAAATGGCGAGGGGTAAACATCTGGAAATTGTCAAAGTCAGAAATCATAATAAAAAGGGTAACAAAGATCCAACATCAATGGAAAAACAAATAAATTTAGACACATTCCAAATGTAACATCATAGTTTTGC